TCCCTGTTTATGCACCTGGAAAAATCAGCAAAAGATGGCCCAATGCTTGGGCCCCTACACCAACATGGGAGACCCGGAAGAAGCTCCTGGCTCATGGCTTCAGATCGGCCTGGCTCCAGCCTTGCAGCCATTTAGGGAGTGAACTGGCAGATTGGAAGAGTTCTCTCTCCCTCTCTCTCTCTAATTCTGCCTTTCAAATAAATATCTATAATGTTAACTAGAAGAATCTTAAAACATTTAAAATACCATAATGCTAGCACACACTTAGCGGTTAAAAAGAACCAGGTTAACAACCAAATAATGTGCAAACATGGAGACCAAGACATCCAGCAAGAGGAGGAGCCTTAACAATCCCTAAGGCAGAGAAACCACTGCATTAGGGATATGGAGACAGGAAATTGGAAAATTGCCAAGTGTTCTCACCGATGATACGAAAGTCGAAACCTGCTAAGAACTGTGACTGCTCAATGGCTTCCAGTGGCCCCTGGACCCCAGGCCCCTGCTTCTCCCTCTAGGAGCTTAAAGAGCCCTCCTGGCCTCCTCCGCTGCTGTGTCTGTCCAGCAGGCCTGCATGGGCTCCACACGCGGAGACCAGCCGTCCGGTCTTCCTTGTCTGCTTGGCTCAGGCCAGCCCAGGGGGCTGAGTGTGAGCAGGGCACGAGAGGAGACTGTGACCTCATTCCTTAACTTCCTTTTCCCCGACCTCCCCTTCGACCTCATGTCAATCCTGAGGCTGGAAGGCTTGGGCAAGCTGGGCAGCATCCCCACCAAACTCCACTTTCTGGTGCAAATTTTAGCTAAAGGGTGTGGAAGCTGTTTAGGGGAGGCAGGCTGGGCAAAAGGGTAGAGCTGGTGAAGAAATACCAACTGTCTCCTGGGGAAGCTGGAGGGATGCTACTTTCCTTCCACTGTCAGTTTCTACCTCCAGAGACCAACCAGAACTGAGCTTCAGTGACAGGTCTGGCATGGTTGCTACGATTAAAGCTACATACATTCCCACTTGGTGGGGGTGTCATGGTGTTGTGTGCTGTTCTGGGGACAGGCAGAGTGAACAGTGAGAGAGAGAGACAGAAAGAAAGGTCTTCCTTTGCCATTGGTTCACCCTCCAATGGCCGCCGCAGCCGGCATGCTGCGGCGGGCGCATCGCGCTGATCTGATAGCAGGAGCCAGGGGCTTCTCCTGGTCTCCCATGGGGTGCAGGGCCCAAGCACTTGGGCCATCCTCCACTGTACTCCCGGGCCACAGCAGAGAGCTGGCCTGGAAGAGGGGCAACCGGGACAGAATCCGGCGCCCCGACCGGGACTAGAACCTGGTGTGCCTGCGCCACAAGGCAGAGGATTAGCCTAGTGAGCAATGGTGCCGGCCGCTACATACATTCTATAACCCACTAAGTTATTCAGCACTCAAATCCAGGCGCAAAGCTCACCCGCTGCTGCCCCTCTCCAGGTCTCGCTTCTGCTAGTCCGCAGCCTCTCCCGATGCCTCTCAGCTCCCTCTGTTTATTAAGCAAGCCCTGATGTGGAGCCAGGGATGGCGACAGGGGGTTTGCATCCCTGGGAGGAGAGCCTTGGGTAGGATCTATTTTTCTAATAACACCTTGCCTTCTGTCACTTGTCAGCTTTTGTCCTCTGCCTCGAAGGCTGAGGTCAGTTCATGTTCTTGGGGAAAAGGGAAGGCTAAGGCTGTTTGTGCTGCAGAAATAAAATGTTTATTTGCTTTACCACACCCCCCCCAAAAGAAAAAGAAGAAACAACTCTTTTGATGTGCGTCTGCTCTGGGGAATTGTAATCCTAAAGTTGCTTTTAAAATAAAATTACAAGGAAGTGAAATTGATTAAGTGGATGGCTAATTACAGAGAGGCAGAAACAGAGAGAGAGAGAGAGAGAGAGAGAGAGAGATCAATTTGCTGGTTCACTCCCAAAATGTCCCCCCAACGGCCAGGAAAGGCTGGAGTCAGAGTTGGGATCTCAATCCAGGTCTCCTCTCTCAGTCTGCGTCAGCAGGATGCTGGAATCTGGAGCTCCACATGGGATTTAAACCCAGCACTCCAATACGGGACTTGGGCGTCTCAACCAGCAGGCCAAATGCCCACCCAGCTACTGGGCTTTAATAAGGTAGCAAGACTCCAGCCCTGTTCCGGTTTGCACAGCGGGAGTAACCAGCATGAGCAGCTGTTAGTTTAGAAAGCACCATCCACCCAAAGCAAGCATTATTGGCTACATGGGGCGTATCTTGTCTCAGCGCTCCACAATTAATAGACCACAGATTGTAATCCTGACTTAGTGCAAGTAGTTCATTCCGAAGTCTCTCCCATTATTTTCAATGGAGAGTATTTTGAGGATATTAATTCATAATGAATGACCAAAAGGAAGAAAAAGCACCCATCTGTCCTGCACTGTCAACGGATGGTTTAGACAGACTCAGTTCCCCTGCAGCAGTGACAGGTCGGAGTGAAGCTGAGCACAAAGACCCAGGCAGCAGGGAAACAAGACCTCCAGGACGCACTGGAAGTGCCAACCTGAGGAAGGCCCGGGAACAGGGCACTGAGTCAGGAGCACGAACTCAGGCAGGTGAGCGGGAGACTGAGGAGAAGCAACAGCCCTGTGGCTAAAACCACCTCCCAGGAGACTGCGTTAGCACACACAGGGTTAACCGCCTCCCGCGACACCGGCATCCCATATGAGCATTGGCTGGAGTCCCAGCTGCTCCACTTCCCATTCAGCTCACTGCTAAGGCTCCTGGGAAAGCAGTGGAAGATGGTGCAAGCGCTTGGGCACTGCCATCCACCTGGGAGACCTCGATGGAGCTCCTGGCTCCTGGCCCAGCCTGGCCCAGCCCGGCCCCCGCCCATTGCAAGCATTCCCCAACAACACAATTCAAAGAGCCCTTCCCAGGCATTTCAGCTGGGGAAACGGAAGGGGAGGAACAGAAATGAGGGGCACACAGGTGACTATGTATCACACAGAACATGAGTCCCGGGGAAACCAACTGTCTGCTACTGCACACGTGACGGTCTCACTCCCCGGAAACATCGGCTACTCCAGACAACCACCAAAGGTGCTGGGAAACAGCAGTCCAGGGGTTCAGGAGCAGCCTGATGAGAACACCGCCTCGTTAAAGTGAGGCCGTCCTTTCTGCTCGACCGTCACCATCACCACCTGCGTGGCCGTCTTCTGCCGTATCATCAGAAGCACCCAGAACTGATCACACCTTCACGACAATAGAGTCAGGCGGGAGGCCAAAGTTCCCTGGCACCGGGCTCCCCTGAGCCGGGTGTTTTGTTTTTAAGCCTCTCGAAACCTTAAGTAAATAAATCCGTCAGCCAGTGAAAACCGACACACCCAGAAACTCGGCAAAACACTTACTCCGCGGTTCACAATGCACCGGCCCAGTCCCTGCACAGGCAGCCCTGCACGGAGCCATGGCTCAGAGGACAGTGCCCCCAACACCCTCCCCCTTCACGGGCGCCAAAAGGAGGCCTCTTTGTTTTAAAATTTATTAATTTATTTGGGGCTGGTACCGCACTCACTAGGCTAATCCTCCACCTGCGCCGCCGGCACCCTGGGTTCTAGTCCCGTCGGGCGCCGGATTCTGTCCCGGTTGCCCCTCTTCCAGGCCAGCTCTCTGCTGTGGCCAGGGAGTGCAGTGGAGGATGGCCCAAGTGCTTGGGCCCTGCACCCGCATGGGAGACCAGGAGGAAGCACCTGGCTCCTGGCTTCGGATTGGCGCAGCACGCCAGCTGGGATGGCCACTTGGGGAGTAAACCAACGGAAGGAAGACCTTTCTCTCTCTCTCTCTCTCTCACTGTCTAACTCTGCCTGTCAAAAAAAATTAATTTATTTGAAAGGCAGAGGGACAGACATGGAGACACACACACAAGAATAAAGAGAGACCTCCCATTCACTGGTTCTCTTCCCAGTTGCCTACCACAGCCCAGGCTGGGCCAGGCCAAAGCCAGAAGCCATGGAGTCCACGCAGGTCTTCCACAAGGGAGGCAGAAATCCAAACACTCGGGCCGTTATTCACTGCCTTCCCGGTGCATCAGCAGGAAGCTGGGTGGGAAACAGAACAGCAGCACTCACACCAGCACCCCCTACAGGCTGGGCGAGTTCCAGGCAGAGGCTCAACCTGCCCGCCCTGCAGGGGCTGGCGCAGGGACACGCCACACCCACCCTGACTCTCCTAGGAAGACAGCTGTCCTTCTGCCCCTTAACTAACTGGGAGAACTGAAGCCCATGGTTCTGGATTTCCTAATCTGCCCACAGGAAGGAGGAGCCTTTGGATGATCCGAGTCTTCACACAGCTGCTAGCTTCCATCCTCAGCCCTCCCACTCCACTCCCACTGGCCAAACTGCACCTGCCCTGGAACCTCCATATTCTCCACTGACCTTCATGGCAGCCAATCAATGTGGTCAAAGCAGCTTGCTCCCAAAGCATGCTGAGAGAGGACTTCTGAGAGCCAAGCCATCGCTGCAGACACCCTGACCACAGAGACGCTCACGCAGGAAGTATTTCTGGAGAGAATGACTTCCTGGGCTTTCACCCTATAGGAAGGCTGGGAAGAATAAAAAGTATATTCCCACCCTCACCCCAAAAAAACCTAATCTCTCCTTACTATCTCGTAGGTGAAGGCCAGTGCAGAGGCTTGCCCCAGGCTGCCGTCCAAAACCACTCGTGCCGATCTGCACCCAGCACACCACCCTGGGCGAGTGTCTCCTCCCACACGGTGAGCAGAACACAGAGGGGTGAGAGGAAGAAGCTGTTCTGGCTTCTCAAAGGCCCTTGTTCGTTACGTTTCAGAGCCTAGATCCACTTGAAAATGGAAATGTGATTTTCACTGAGGAGTCAAACAATTTCCTTCACCTCACGCTCTCGAAATCCTTTGGTAAAAATCAAAGCGACAACTTTTGTAATGTACACAGATGATAAATCTAACACATTACCAAAAATGGAGACCAACCTGGGGCTTAAAGAAAGATTGGAAGTGCTTTCACACTTACCCACTCTTCGACATTGGGGGGCTGCTCGTCATAAACGCGCTCCTTCTCCCACAGAATATTGGATTTGTCATAGCGGTCCATCTTTCTTCGAGTTTTCACAGCAAAGAAGATTATTAAAGCAAAAGCCACAAGAACCAAGAACCCTAGTACAATGGCAATAGCCTGAAAAAGGATTAAAGATATTGGCAGGATTAGATTGTAGTTGCTTACTTAATGGCAATTCAACTCGGTACAAACTGTTAACATCCTTATCTACCTAGGAACCTACTGCTAGGTGTCTGTGGTTTAATTCAAACCGAAGCACAGAGTTCCACTTTAGACGAATCCAAAACTCTCACCCACATCAACCGGGCTGAGGCTGGACACACACACACACTTCAGTACTCAGAACAAGCTTCAGCCAGGTGCTGTCCTCAGCCCTGAAGAGCTGTAGAGGTCTGGTCCAAAACCTGCGCTCCGAGGGCCATGTTTTATAGACAGATGAGACGGGCCAGTCCACTCACTCTGCCATCGGTATGACAATAATGGGCTTAACAACACTGTTCTGGGAAGTAGCTTTCGATACCCAATCACGCTTACAGTCTTGTTCCTAACGCATCACTTGGCACATCATTTGACGATAAACGTAAATTTCAGTCTGCAGGGGATGTGCCTTCCCGTGAATGACAAAGATAGCGTAACATAAAGCAATCGGACAAGGATCCCTTTGGTCTGGCAGGTTCTCTGAGTCCTGTGGGCGTGGGCAGCTGAGACTTAGCACAAAGAAACTTCCTGCAGCTGATGGTGCTGCAGCGTCCAAGGTGTAGTCCGTGGTACACTGGCCTGGGAGGAACTTGACACTGAAGCAGGTACAGGGACCGCCCTGGATCCAGCTGGTCACCTGACTGTGACAGTTCTTTTTCAAAGAACACAGGCTTCAAGTAGCCCAAGGACTACAAGGGATGGGGCATAGTAAGATAAGAGAACCAACCCCAGTCCCTATCTACTTATCGCCTCTGAATGGCGACAACAAACATTCTGAAAACCTGTGTCTGCAGACCACAGTCCACCTGCAAAACAAGGGTGGACAGCTACTAGAGAAGCTCCAACTCCCAAAACAGTGACTCACTCAGATAAAAGACCGGGAATCCCTGAGTCAGTGGAAGGAAGAAAAAAGACACCAAAGACTTGTACTCAGAAACATATCAGGTGCTAACACAATTAGGATGAGTCCCAGGTGCAGAGGGACAGTCTCAACTCCACCTGCATACCTGAATCACTTGGGCAGCTTAATGAGCTCTGAAAACCACAAACACTCTTGAAAGACATTAAAGACCACCTACACAGGGGGAAGGCGCCCTCCCATGTAAGTGGACTGGGAGAATCGCAATCATAAGATGACAATTTGAAGGCTAATCCTCCGCCTTGTGGTGCAGGCACACCGGGTTCTAGTCCCGGTCGGGGCGCCGGATTCTGTCCCGGTCGCCCCTCTTCCAGGCCAGCTCTCTGCTGTGGCCCGGGAGTGCAGTGGAGGATGGCCCAAGTGCTTGGGCCCTGCACCCCATGGGAGACCAGGAGAAGCATCAAGCTCCTGCCATTGGATCAGCGCGGTGCGCCGGCCGCAGCGCACCGGCCGCGGCGGCCATTGGAGGGTGAACCAACGGCAAAGGAAGACCTTTCTCTCTGTCTCTCTCTCTCACTGTTCTCAGCACAGACAGTTAATACGAGTGAGTCCTGGTGAGGATGCGGAGAAACTGGAATCCTCACACATTTCTGCTGAAAATATAAAACTACAACCTCTTTGGGAGAGTCTGGAAATTCCTCAAAAGGTTAAACAAAGTCATTATAAGACCTTTAAATTCTGCCTTAGGTTTATACCCAACTTAAGAGATATTAAAACAGAGGTTCAGCCCAAAACTTCTAAATGCCAGTCAATTGATGGATAAATAAAATGTGGTACATTCACACGCAGGGAATATCAGTGAGCAGAGAAAAGGAACAAAGGACTGGTACATGCTATACCATCGATAAACTTTAAAAACACTATGCTGGGGCCGGCGCCGCGGCTCACTAGGCTAATCCTCCGCATGTGGCGCTGGCACACCGGGTTCTAGTCCCGGTCGGGGCACCGGATTCTGTCCTGGTTGCCCCTCTTCCAGGCCAGCTCTCTGCTGTGGCCAGGTAGTGCAGTGGAGGATGGCCCAAGTGCTTAGACTCTGCATCCACATGGGAGACCAGGAGAAGCACCTGGCTCTTGGCTTCGGATCGGCACAGCGTGCCAGCTATAACAACCATTTTGGGGGGTAAACCAACGGAAGAACGGAAGGAAGACCTTTGTGTGTCTCTCTCTCTCTCTCTCTCTCTAACTCTGCCTGTAAAAAAAAAAAAAAAAAAAACTATGCTAAGTGAAAGACACCAATCACAAAAAGACTATGCATTGTGACACTGTACTCATAAAATACCTAGAACAGGCAAATCTACAGAGGTAGGATGATTAATGGTTGCCTTGGGCTAGGGAGGGTTAGGGAAATGAGAGTGACTGCTGATTGGCATGGGTTCCTCTAGGGACAAGTGAAAATTTTCTGAAGTTTGTGGGAAGGCCGCACAAATTCCTATGGAATTCCCCTGGAAAACCCCTGAATTTCTTCCTTCAGTGGGAGAATAACATGGTATGTCCATTATACCTTTTTTTTTTTCAAAGATTTATTTATTTACTTGAAAGTCAGAGTTACAGAGAGAGAGAAGAGGCAGAGAGAGAGAGGTCTTCCATCTGCTGGTTCACTCCCTAGATGGCCACAACGGCTGGAGCTGAGCCAATCCAAAGCCAGAATCCAGGAGCTTCTTCCAGGTCTCCCATGTGGGTGCAGGGGCCCAAGGACTTGGGCCATCTTCTACTGCTTCCCCAGGCCATAGCAGAGAGCTGGATTGGAAGAGGAGCAGCCGGGACTAGAACCGGTTCCCATATGGGATGCCGGCGCTTCAGGCCAGGGCATTAACCCACTGCGCCACAGCGCCGGCCCTTTTTTTTTTTTTTTTAAGATTTATTTATTTATTTGAAAGTCAGAGTTACACAGAGAGAGGAGAGGCAGAGAGAGAAAGGTCGTCCATCCGCTGGTTCACTCCCTAGACGGTCTCAATGGCCGGTGTCCATTATAATCTTAATAGTGAGAGCCAGCCCCTTCCCCAGGCTCTGACTTAAATTAGCAGTGGGGCCTCGGCATCAGCATTTTTAACAAGCTCTCAGAGTGACTCTTTTATATATCCCAAGCTGACAGTCTCTGATCTAAGGATAGGGCAAAAAAGCAAAACACTCTTCATACCTCCTGGGGATCCACCACACAGTAGTGATACAAATATTGGTCCACGTAGAGACCCGTCATTCCAGGCGTGTAAAACTGGTTGCAGAGAGCATATATCTGTGAGCCATACATAGATCCAGAAGCCTGGGCAGTTGGGTTGACTCCCATTATATAGACAATGGTGGCAATAAACACCAGGACGCCCAGGATAGCACTCACTATTATCACAGTCAAGTAGTATCTTCTTGTTCTGGAAATTTCAGATCTTATAACACTGGTAACAAATACCACCAAGGCAAAAATGAAACAAAAGGCAGCCATGGCCAACAGGAAGCCCTTGGCCGCTCTTGGATCCGTGTAGCCTCCATAGCCATAACCGTAGCCGTAACCATAGCCATAGCCACTTCCGTAACCACCAAAACCACTTCCGTAAGGGTAGCCCACACCACTTCCCAGTAAGCCAGTTCCGTAGGTTCTGTCCCAGGCAAGCGTGGAGGCGACGCAGGCAAATATGGCGATGCACATCACGATGATGAGCATAGACAGAATCCGAATCACTCCTGGAGGGGAGGTCCATTTGTAGAAGTGAAGAATTTCGTCCTCTGGGTAAAAGGAATAGGCCGGCTGGGACAGCATGGGCCGAACGTGCATCTCACCACCGTACATGTCATTGCTCGGCGCGTAATGATTTGGCTTGCTGAAACGCACACAGAACAGTTTCAAGTGAGCTTTGTTATTACTAGACCAACGGAATGGATAAAGCAGCAGAATAATGTAAACCATTAATAAATAGTACTGGCATTACTGCCCCCTGAACAGTACCGGTAACTGTGATTGGAATCAACCAGAAGCCTTGGTGAACACACATTACTGGCCCCCGTCCCAGAGGCAGGCTCTGCAGGTCTGGGGTAGGAACACAACAAGTGAAATGGGGATTTCTGGAACTAGGACCCTGGCAGTGCTGGTGCTGTCAACGTGTTTACCATATGGTGCAAGACCAGTGCTTTCAGATACAACATCTACCGTGGCCTATCCAGGGTCATGTGCAATTCTGATAACCTCACTATCCCACTTGAAAAAGCACATCCGGGGGTGAGAGTCTGGCACTGTGGTTAAGACGCTGCCAGGGATGCCTGCATCCCGTATCAAAGTTCCTGGGTTCAAGTCCTGGCTCTGTGCCCAATTCCAGCCCCTGCTAATGCACACCCTGAGAGGCAGCAGGTGACGGGTCAAGAACTTGAATCCTTGCCATCCAGGTGGACAGTCTGCATTGAGCTCAGGACTCTGACTTCAGCCTGGCCTAGCCCAGACTGCTATAGGCACTCAGAGTGTGATGGAAGACCACTCGCTGCTTCTGCTTCTCAATGTCTGTCTCTATTTCTTTCAAATAATTAAAAGTTTAAAAAGCTCATTCAGGGATGGGCCTTCTGGCACAGTCGGTTAAGCAGCAACTCAGAACACCTGCATCCCATGTCAGAGTGCAGGTTCAAGTCCTGGTTACGCCATGCTTCCAATACAACTTTCTGTTAATGTGCTTCGGTGGCAGCCAGATGACAGCCCAAGTACCCGGGTCCTTGTTGCCCACAGGAGAGATTCAGACGGAGCTCTAGACTCTTGGCTTCAGCTTAGCCTGACCCTAGCTGTTGCAACCATTTGGGGAGTGAACCAGTGGGTAGAAGATCCCTCTGTCTCTCTTTCTGTCACTTTGCCTTTCAAATAAATACATCTTTATAAAAAATTTTATTTATTTGAAAGCAGAGTTACAGAGAGTTAGAGAAAGACAAAGAAAGAGAGATTTTCCATCCACTGGTTCAGTCTCCAAATGGCCACAATGACTGGAAGCCAGGAGTTTCTTCTGGGTCTCCCACGTGGGTGCAGGGGCCCAAGCACTTGGGCCACCTTCTACTGTTTTCTCAAATACATTAGCAGGGAGCTGGATTGGAAATAAAGCAACCAGGACTCAAACTGGCACCCATATGGGATGCCGGCCCTGAAGACCATGGGTTAACCCACTGCACAGAGCACCAAACCCTCAAATAAATAAATCTTTAAAAAAAAAAAAAGTAAAAAGCACATTCATTCATTTATTTTTCTAACAGCTGTTCACTGGAGTTGCTGGGCTTCTATGTGCTAGGGAATGGGTAAACAACAATGAACACGGTGATCTTCTCCACAGAGCTGAGCCTTTGTCTAGGACCTAACATAAAAGAATTAAGCAGGCAATCACTACAGGACCTACAGTTACAGTTATGAGAAGAGCTACAAAGTAAACCCAATATGCACTGAGAGCTATGAGGGTAATGCCTAATTGCATCTTGAATCTCCTTTATGAAAAATCCTCTATAGGGACAGACCTTTGGCACATACGTTCAGGTGCTGCTTGGGCCACCTGCATCTCATTTCAGAGTGCCGGTTCAAGTCCCAGCTCTTCTACTTCTGATCCAGCTTCCTAGAAGGCAGCAGGTGATGGCTCAAGGGCTTGGGTCCCTCCTACCCACATGGGAGACCTGGAATGAGCTCCTGGCCCTCTGGCTTTGACTTGGTCCAGCCCTGGCAGATGTGGGCATTTGGGGAGTGTAATGAGCAGATGAAAGATCTGTGCCTTTCAAATAAAAAAAATTAAAACATATACATAAAAACATTTAAACCCTTTACAAATACTAGTAATTTAATCATGATAGACAGAGAAGTGTGGCTACACTGAATCTAAAAACTACAGCTCCCAAGACAGCATTTTGGTGTGTTGGGTAAAGTTGTAGCCTATGATGCCAGCATTCTACTTCCAACCCAGCTCCCTGCTAATGCACCTGGGAGGGCTGCAAAGAATGGTCCAGGTGCTTGGACCCCTGCTGCCCACGTGGGAGACCTGGATGGAGTTACTGGCTCCTGGCTTCAGGCTGGCCCAGACCTGGCTGTTGCGGCCAACTGAGGAGTGAATCAGTGGGTGGACGATCTCTGTGTCTATGTCTATCATACTGTCCTCCAAATAAATATTTTCAAAAAAATAAATAAAAACTACTTGCTCCAATGAGGGCAAAACTCAATTCCTTAACTGACCTCAGCCCCTTTTGTTTCTGCCGTCACTTTCACACGTGACCTTCCTCATTCGAAGCCAGCCATCTTAGTACTGGCTGCTGCTGCCCTGAGAATTCACACGATCTGAGCATGAGAGTGAGAATAAGAAGGAGCTGAAGAAACCAGAGAGCGCTGACAGGTGGTCTTTGAAAAGATCAAGCATCCTAGCTTCACAACATAGTGCGCTAGGACATGCGGTGGTCTCTGGGGTCTGTGAACAGCGCGGTCTGAATGTCGAGAACATGTATTTTGCACACAAAAGCAACTATTTTTCTAAGGTACACAGTCAGGGATGGGATTTTTTTTTTTTTTTTTTTTTTTTTTTGGACAGGCAGAGTGGATAGTGAGAGAGAGAGACAGAGAGAAAGGTCTTCCTTTGCCGTTGGTTCACCCTCCAATGGCCGCCGCAGCTGGCGCGCTGCGGCCAGCGCACCACGCTGATCTGATGGCAGGAGCCAGGTACTTCTCCTGGTCTCCCATGGGCTGCAGGGCCCAAGCACTCAGGCCATCCTCCACTGCACTCCCGGGCCACAGCAGAGAGCTGGCCTGGAAGAGGGGCAACCGGGACAGAATCCGGCACCCCGACCAGGACTAGAACCTGGTGTGCCGGCGCCGCAAGGCGGAGGATTAGCCTAGTGAGCCGCAGCACCGGCCAGGGATGGAATTTTTGGGACACAGTTAACTTCAGATCTACCCAACAATTAACGTGCAAGTTTCACCTATTTGTGGGGGGAAAAAAGGAATAAATATACACAAAAATATAAACCTAGACCATCCTTTGAAGCAAGCACTAGAAACTGGTGGCAGTAGTCACCCCTGCTGAGACAAACCGTCAGCCTGCCAAGTGCAGAGGAAAACACAGCTCTCACCGTAATCCTTCGGTGCAGTCTGAACGCACCAGTGTGCACATTTTTGAAAAACAAACACTTAACAGCTTTAACCATACATTGTTATTTTTTACTTTTTTGACATTCGATGACAAACAAGGAAGAAAAGTCAAGATTTACTCACAATTCATCAGGCCTGTAAGGCGGCGGGCTTTCAAAAGGCCGTGAAGACATGGCTGATGTCAAAGGTCACCTGCTCTTCAGAGAGGCAATGCTGGGAGCTCCCAGGGAAGTCAATCTGAGCACAAGGGTAGGGTGACGGCGTTACTCGCGGGCCCGGCATCTCCCTGCGCCCTCCACGCACCTTCTCGCTGCACACTCGTTCTCTCGCACCCTTTCCACACCGTTTCTGCACATTCAACCAGGAACCCCAGCGCAGGAATCGCCAAGCCGAGGAACTCCTCCAGCCTTCAACATCGCCACATGGCCCCATGACGCGCAGCATCTTTAAACTTGAGGTTCCAAGCGCAATGACAACTTCACAAATTATCAATTTTAACATATGCAAAATGGCATTCTTAAACTAGTCACTGCAAAGAACAAAAAAGTACAATCTCTCTACAATCATCTCATACTACCTTTTTTTATTTATTTATTTTTATTTATGTATATTTTTTTTTTGGCAGGCAGAGTGGACAGTGAGAGAGAGAGACAGAGAGAAAGGTCTTCCTTTGCCGTTGGTTCACCCTCCAATGGCTGCCGTGGCCGGCACACCGCGCTGATCCGAAGGCAGGAACCAGGTGCTCCTCCTGGTCTCCCATGGGGTGCAGGGCCCAAGCACCTGGGCCATCCTCCACTGCACTCCCTGGCCACAGCAGAGGGCTGGCCTGGAAGAGGGGCAACCGGGACAGAATCCGGCGCCCCGACCGGGACTAGAACCCGGTGTGCCGGCGCCGCAAGGCGGAGGATTAGCCTAGTGAGCCGCGGCGCCAGCCTTTATACTACCTTTTTTTAAATAACAAAACCCATCTTTAGTTTTTTTTTTTTTAAGATTTATTTATTTATTTGAAAGGCAGAGTACAAAGAGGCAGAGAAAGAGGTTTTGCATTCGCTGGTTCACTCCCCAGATGGCCGCAATGGCTAGAGCTGCACCTATCAGAAGCCAGGAGCTTCTTCCAGGTTTCCCGCATGGATGCAGGGGCCCAGGGACTTGCAGAGAGCGGCCCTAGCAGAGAGCAAGATCAGAAGTGGAGCTGCTGGGACTTGAACCGGTGCCCACATGGGATCCCAGCACTGCAGGCGGTGGCTTTACCCACTACGCCACAGTGCCGCCCCCTCATGCTACTTCTGAAAGTCCCTCTAAGATGAGAATGCATACTAAAGTGTTTCCACAGCCATTTCTGGCCTCTCAGCATTAACTAAAAAGCACGACCTAACTTGTTAAAGAGAAGCCTTTATCATTAAAGATTATGACAAAAAAACATCAGTGGCCATTTTCCCCTCATCTTCTTTCCCAAGTCTTCAAAACTGAGCACAACTTTTACAAGAGGGGCAACCCTTGAACATGCGTCGTAGGAAAAGGTCCTTTTCTAAAAGAAAAGCTAAAATGACTTGAACCAAAACTCCTCAGAGCACAAAGGCCTGGACATCTGAGGCGGTGCCAGCCAGTCAACAAGGACTGGTTAAGTAAGTGCCTGCACAACACCAGGGAGCCGTGGGAGGCCCGGAGGTCACACACAAAACAGCGAGTGCTGCCTGCGTGAGTCAGGGCCGCGCCACACGCTGCGAGCAGGACGGGGATCAGAGGGCAGGCCAGCAGCAGGGGTGCGGAAGGAAGGGAGGAAGGAAAGGCAGCGTGCTCCCTGGGTGCTCAGGTGCATGTGGCCGCTTCACAGGACGGTGGGGAGGCCGGGTGGGGACACACTGGAGGGGACAGGCGGAACACGGGGGAGCAAGCCAACACTCCTCAGACGGCTCCCGTGCACCCAGCGCCTCACACAAAATCCTCCCTGCTGCCTCAGATCAACCCTCCGGGCTGCGCAGCCACTTTGCAAACACAGGAAGGGTGGGAGAGAGAGGTGAAGCGGTCTGTTCACAGGCACGGATCCCGCGTGCTTTCTACCACCACAGCTTTCAAAAGCGAGTTCTGGGACCAGCACATGGACACAGCACATGGATGTGACATATGTGACACAGCAGGCAAAGCTGCAGCCTGCGATGCTGGCGTCCCATATTGGCTCCAGGTCATGCCCTGCCTGCTCCACTTCCGATCCAGCTCCCTGCTGATGGCCGGGGAATAGCAGCAGCAGATGTCCCAAGCAAAAGCCGGAGCTGTGCCCATCTGAAGCCAGGAGCTGCTTCTGGGTCTCCCACGTAGGTGCAGGGGCCCAAGCATTGGGGCCATTTTTTTTTTTTTTTAAGCTTATTCAGTGAGAGAAATGTGCAGGAGAGTGAGGGCTTTATTTAGGGGAGAAAGAGAAATCTAGTATCTAAGTTGGGTCCGTACCAAGCAGGGAGCAGGCCAGGGGCAAGCCACATGCAGCAAGCATGCAGGCAGGAAGGCGGGGAGTGGGCGGCCCAACGGCCATGTGCTGGGCCATCTTCTACTGCCTTCCTGGCCATAGCAGACGGCTGGATGGGAAGAGCAGCAGGGACACGAACTGGCGCCCATATGGGATGCTGGCGCCACAGGCAGAGGCTTAGCCTACTGTGTCACAGCACCGGCCTCTTGTTCACTAATTAAAACAAACACTAATTAAAACAGACATCTGTTGAAGGTTTACATGAATCAGACTGGACCATGCTTGCCTGCAAACGCTCCTGTACCTTCAGGTTGAAGGTAATGGGAAAGCACCAGCTTACAAGGCAGCACTCTGAGGGGTAACTCAGCAAGGTGTCGCCATCTGACGTTTTCTCCCCTTTTCAAATAAGATCTGTGCAATTGTAAATTCCTATATTAGGGACAGTATATCAATTCAAACTTTCAATTTAGGTCTTTAAAGTTAATGGCACAGGGCCAGCAGTGTGCAACAGCAGTACAGCCGCCGCCTGTGATGCTGGCACCCCCTATGCACACCAGCTGCTCCCTGACCCAGCTCCCTGCTAATGGCCTGGGGAAAGCAGCGGAAGGCGGCCCACGTGTTTGGGTCCTGGACGGAGCTCCTGGTTCCTGGTTTCAACCTGGCTCAGTCCTGGCTGCTGCTGCCATCTGAGGGGTAAACCAACAGATGGAATCTCTCTCTGTCTCTCTTACTCTCTAACTCTTTCAAATAAATAAGTAAATCTTTAAAAATAAAATAAGTAGCATAGGGTAGAAGTTTAGCCTAACAGTTAAGATGTCCACATCCCCTATCAGACTGCATGGGTTCAAGTTCAACTCTGGCTCCCTATTTCAGCTTCCTGCTAATGCATACCCTGGGGGGCAGCAGGTAATGTCTCAGGCAGTGGAGTCCCTGCAAACCACATGAGAAACCTGGATTGGGTTCAGCTTGGCCCAGCCCAGTCCATGCCATTGCAGGCATTTGGAAAGTGAACCAGTGGAGGGAACTTCTCTGTCTTTGTCTCTCAAATAAATAGTTTTAAATTAACAGCAACTTTCTTCTACATTCATAAGTACTGCCAATTCCAATTCTCAAAAAAAAACCCTGCTCAACCATATATTAGACATGACCTCAAACATGGAAATATATTCAATGTTATTAACATCAATACAATTAGCATAGTTTGCCAAACACAGGAGGAAAGATAATTCTGAATTGCTTTTTTAAAAGATGTATTTATTTATTTGAAAGTCAGAGTTACAGAAAGAGAGAAGGAGACACACAGAGATCTTCCATCTGCTGGTTCAAACCCACCCCCCCGCCCCCGCAATGGATGTAACAGTCAGGGCTAGGCCAGGCCAAAGCCAGGAGCCAGGAGCCTCTTCTGGGTCTCCCAAGAGGGTGCAGGGGCCCAGATACTTTGGCCATCCTCTGCTGCTTTCCAGGCACATTAGCACGGAGCTGGATCAGAAGAGGAGCAGCTGGGACTTGAACCAGCACCCATATGGGATGCCAGCACTGCAGACAGCAGCTTAAGCTGCTATGCCACAGTGCCAGCTCCTACATTCGGTTTTCAAAATTTACTGCTAATGGGAAAACAGCAGAAAATGGTCCAAGTCCTGGGGCCCCTGCCACCCACATGAGAGATCCGAAGAAGAACCTAGTTCCTGCTTTGGCCTGGCCCAGCCCCAGCTTTTGTAGCCATTTGAGGAGTGAACCAGCATAAAGATCTCTCTAAATATACATAACTCGGGACTGGCACTGTGGCGCACTAGGTTAATCCTCTGCCTGTGGCGCCAGCATCCCATATGGGCACCGGTTCTAGTCCTGGTTGCTCCTCTTCCAGTCCAGCTCTCTGCTGTGGCCTGGGAGTGCAGCAGAAGACGGCCCAACTGCTTGGGCCCCTGTACCCACATGGGAGACCTGGAAGAAGCTCCTGGCTTCAGATCGGTGTAGCTCCAGTCATTGTGGCCATTTGGGGAGTGAACCAACGGAAGGAAGACATTTCTCTCTACTCTCTCTCTTTCACTGTCTGTAATTCTACCTGTCAAATAAATAAATAAAATCTTAAAAAATAAATATACATAACTCTGCCTTTCAAATAAACATTTTTAAAAGTTTAATGTACAGCACATTATAAGTGATAATTAATGACCTCAGAAGAACCTTACACACCTATGACAAACTCATTGAGACTATCCGGGTAGTTTCTGAAAACTAAGTAGAACACTCTAACTTGTAGGGAAACCCAGAAAAAGCCCCTCTCAACTTGCTGTTTCTAGGGGCAGCGCTGTGGCTCAGCAGGTTAAAGCTGCAGCTTGTAGTTCCAGCTTCCCATATGGGTGCTGATTTGGGTCTCAGCTGCTCCACTTCCAATCCAGCTCCCTGCTAATGTGCCTGGGAAAGCAGTGGAGGATGGCCCAAGTCCTTAGGCACCTGCACCCGCATGGGAGACCCGGAAGAGTCACCTGGCTTTGACCTGTCCCAGGCCGGCTGTTGTGGCCATTCGGGGAGTGAACCAGTGGATGGAAGACCTCTCACTCTTGCTCTGTCTCTCCTTCACTAACTCTGCCTTTCAAATAAATAAATATATCTTTAAAAAAAACTGCTGTTTCCTGGATTCACAGTTTAGTGGTCATGTTTCCCCTAGGAGAAGAGATTTTAAACTGTGAAGCAAACAATTTCAGAAAGTTCATTAAGAACACCTTCATTTCCTTTAGGAGGAGGTTACCGAATTAGTAGACAAAGGGCACGCAGA